AACTTGGAACATCCCCGGAACAACACTTCGAAATGGGTGAAATATGATCCATGATATCCGTAAATGATAACCACACGCTTGTATTTTCAGCAGATGGCTATATTTTTTGTTCCAACCGATAGATTCCGGCGAGCGCTTCAAAATCAGCCATCGAGTCGGCACAACGCATCTTGAGATATTTGCCCGTGACGTCACGCTCGCAACGTCACGGGCCCATACGAGGCCAAGGGTATAGTAATTACGATCGTCGTCACTAGGTGGCGCCAGCTTTATCGTCAGCGCGTCATCATTCTGCCAAGTGAGAATGCCCGAGGTACGGTGTACTAGACCCACTGATCTCTATGTCTATTTGCTCGGTCGTGTTTGACCAGCTCCGCCTATGGACGGGAATGCGGCCATGGTCGGCCATCTTTTGGTTAGAGTTATATTATCTCTAGCCATCATAGTAATATGGCTGACAGCACTATGGCGGCAGGCTGCCATAAAATAGCCGTGGATCTAGTACACTGCACAGCGCAGCTCGCATCGAAAGCAGACGCCGTACCGGCGTCTGCTTTTTATGCTTCTATCGATCCGACTTTCGATGCGTGCTGTGCTGCTTTTCCCCGGTGCTGCAATTTGGTGAAACTTTCACCGGGTCCTCAAAAATCAAGCTACCATTCACGCCGGGTTTCAACAATATGTTTCGTCAAGCAATTTCAGTCAAGAACGAAATATAAATCACCACTATTTTTGCTACAATGCTGTCTGCCATGTATGGATGGTAGTGGCTGCACCAGCTGCACATTGGCTAGAGGTAATATAACTCTACCAAAAAGATGGCCGCCAGTGGCCGCATTCGCGGAGTGGGAAAACGCCACCCAGCAAATAGACATAGAGATCAGTGACTAGACCTGAGAGGTGCGCGAAGCGCCGCTCGCTCCCGCACGCCTCCATCGGACACGCCACACCGTGGCGTAGCTCCTGATGGGCCCGTGACAGAAAGACATTCCAACAAAGCTCAGATCTCAACTACCAGGTGGTATTAGTAAAATTGTTTTATTTGTTTTAAAATCGCTTTTCTTGCAATGCACAAACAGCAAAGACGGCTGTTTGTGAGCTGCTGTCATGAAGCAGACCATGTCTACACAAAGAAATAGGCGCTAAAATTTTGCTACCATACCCCATTAAAGCAGAACGAAAAGCTACTAGTCTTCCATTCTTAATATTTTTTCTAACATTAGCTATAGGGAAACTACAATAATAAATATACCAGAACACGACACTTATCTTCCAATACACACAAGTAGTCAATAAGAAATGATATTGGAAAAACTTTATATCAGAGGAAAGTTAGTCATATTTGAGATAGTCGCAGTCAGAGGAAAATCTCGGTTTAATGGCTGCTGTTGAGGTCACAGGCATTTATGATAAAAATGTTTTCTTAGAAGAAAAACCGAAAGGGAAACAATTAATTTCACAGCACTGCGATTCACCGAAAGCACCCGTCTTGAACGGAGAAGATGCTAGCTCCTCCGCGTACGGGCAGCCGTCGATGAAGCCTCGTGTCGCGTGCTCGTGCACGCTGGTTCTTCGACATAGGGTTTCGAGCAAGGAGGCCAATGAAGACAGCGACCGTCTTGTAAACACCAACTTCTTGGAAGGCCAGAGCTGGGTGGCCATCTTGCGAGCTGACTGTATTCCATTCATCCCTAAGCTGAGACTGCGGTGAAAGCTACGTCCTCAAAGGACCAGTCATACATCCCTCTTTCGCCACATGATCACGCTCCCGCTCATTCCCACACAGCGAGGACTGGGTCAGGTGATGAAAGGGAGGCGGCTGATTGGTTCGGCGGGCCCGTAGTTCCCACTGCAGTCTCAGCCCAGAGCCGTGTATAGACAGAGTTTGGTCAATGGGAGGCGCGGGCAGAGCCTGGGCGTGCACCAGAAGCAGAAAGTGGGCTTGACATTCTCTCTTGGCAAACCAGAAGCCTAAAATAATACCTAGCAGTAGTAGCGAGAAACTGTTTTAATCATAGGTATACGGTTTTAATAAGCACGTAAGTGTGAAGTGTAGTGATCCTTCATGGCCGAAAATAGGATCCCTCTGATGTTACGATCATGATCATGCAGAAAGATGTAAGAAACAAATGTGCCGCTCGACTCCGTTCTGCTCGGGGAGAATGTGACCGCTCGGACGGTAGATCCCAAGCCCTCTGCGCACGGATTATGTCGATCGTTCCGCCAGTCGCACTCTTCCACCATAATTTTTGATGACTGTGATTGAAACAGCACGTGCACCACATTTTCAGTAACCCAGAGCTACTCCGACGCACTTATTAGGTTTGTTTCTCACAACCACCGCCAGGGTATTATTTCCAGCCTCCGATTGGCCACATTCGAATTTGAGAACACGCCCTGGAACACGCCCAGCCCGCTTTCCGCCAATTGCGCCCCCTCATTTGCCTCCTATACTTCCCAACGAATGGCCAAACTTTCTGCATATTTGGCTCTGTCTTAGCTTAGGTGTGAACAAAGTATAGGGCAGCATGTCTCAATGCAATGAAATTTTGTAAAGTCCAAAACCGGGTACAGCAGAGCGACCGGCTAAGGGGAAAAGATCAGAAGGTTTGAAAGGCCACGTCTTGCAGGGCAGACTGGTAAACTGAGTGATCACGAGCGTTGGAACACTGCGAAGAACATCAGGGCCTTATTTACTGTACTGAAAGAACTGAAGGGACACAAGTGTTGGAACACTGCAAAGAACCTCAGAAGCTTATATACTGCCCAAAAAAAAAAAAAAAACTGAACGAGCAAGAGCAGAAGAACGTTGTGAAAAACCGCAGTGTCTCTTTTTGTGCCCAGAAAAGAGTTAAACAGTCGAAAAAACGGGATTGGCCGACGCACCAAAATATAGCGGTAGCTGAGGCGCCGAAATATAGTGGTAGGTGGCGCACCGAAATGTTGTGATCCTCTGGTGGAGAGGCGACGATGGTGGTGGTTTGACGATCTTCTGCTACTTGGCAGCAGGAAACATCAAGGAAGGGCCGGTAGAGCAGCAGCGCTATGGGGTGTCCTGACGGGTGACGAGGCAGAGGTGATTGACTTTTAGGTTTAATAAATCATAGAGCACAAAATCAAAACTGAAGAACGCAAACGGAAAAAGAGGCGCAAGTTCGGGCTCGTGCTGGCGCTTGTAAAACCACCAATGGCGCCCGTGACGACGCAACAATCTATTGGGTGATATCAAGGAGCGGCCAGGCTCCTTAAATCGACCGCAAAATTTGGTTTCTTAACCTATCGCGTTATGATTTTGTACAGCAGTGGCCACAGGTGATGCATCTTTTCTATAAAATTCGCAAAAAGCGAGCTTACCTGAGGAAAAAGTAAAAAAAGAAAAAGGCTTAGCTCCTATAAAAACGCAGCGAAGACACCGCTCGGACCCGTTGCTCTGGGGCAGGGGGCGCGAGCGCATCCGCAAGACGCGACCATGTTATGATGGCCGAACCATCCAGGTGGCTCTGTAACGTTCGATTTTGCACGTGCCACGTTCGAATGCAAGCATCTGAAGATGCGCGATAACAAAACCTGGAAAAAAATCAAAATCAAAATAAGAATTACGCAGCTCGCGGCCGCAGCGTCTCATTAAACATTCCTCTCATCTTTGCCTCACGTATCACGTATGTTTCACTTTACGTGATAGCGAAGCCGAAGCTACTCGCAAAAGCACGTCCTCCTGAACGATGTTCGCACTGCACGAGAGCGCGTGCTTGACAGGGACGCTGAAAGGTCGCAGCTAGCTCTTGTGGCTTCGGCTACGCTGGCACTTAGGATGAAACGGAGTAGAAAAAAACTCTAGTGGGGGGAAGCGTATTGACGCATGTTCGAAACGCGAGCCAAATATTCTATTTTGCTCGCCTGGAGCGCTGCTCAAAACTTGAAAGACATGAGGAGGTTGCTCGTCGCCTGTGAAACTAAGCACCATGAGGGCCTCAGGAAGTCCTCAGTTAGCAAGCGGAACATACTGCGAAGGCGGAGCCTATGGAGCTGTGACCGGTACATTGTCACCCGAGAACTTTGGAAGGCTGTGGCTGTACCCGGGCTGACTTTTGGAAACTCAGTCATATGTGTTCCTAGTGAGCTACGCACATATCTTGAGCGGCGCCAAAGGGAAGTCGGACGACAGGCACTAGGGTGTCATGGACAAGTAGCCAATGAACTGATAGAAGGCGATGTCGGCTGGTCTTCCTTCGAAGAGCGGGAGGCAAACAGCAAGCTTCAGTACTACACACGTCTCCGGTACATGAACGGAGACCGGTGGGCCAGGCGAGTTTTTATGTGCATTCACCTCCATTCGTATATCAACTCGACGTCGAGGAAGCGAGTCGCTCGTCTTGGGACAAGGTTTAAGATCTTCAGCTTGGCCACTGAACCTCAAACAGAAAAGGAGTGGATGAGCACAGTGCGGGAGGAAGCGAAAAGGGTTGAGAGGGACCGTTGGATGAGCGGCATGCTACAACACCCTCCCATGCACATGTACGAGTCTCTGAAGACGGAGATTGCCCCGGTGACTTTCTGCGGGAACACACTGGGCAGTCGACTACTTATAGAGGCCCGTGGTGGTGCCCTACGTACCCGCATATACCGAAGCAAGTACGATAGCAGCGTGATTGACAAGGTATGCAGTGCGTGTGGAGCGGGCGAAGAGACAATCGACCAATTGCTGCTTGCGTGCAGGGCGCTAAACCCAACGCCTCGTGGGTGCCCGCTTGTAGCAGGCACTTGGTTTCACCAACGAACAGACCCATGTAGTATGCTCCAAGCGGAGGCTCGAAGCATGGTGGCAGACTCGACTGAAAAATCGGGATCGTGACCAAGACGACGAAGAAGAAGAAGGTAAGGGCAGGAGGAGAAAACAGAGAGGTTAACCAAGGCGGCCTGCCTCGATTGGCTACTCTGAGTTGGGGAAGGGGATGAGGGGATAAAAGGAGGAGGAAAGAAAAAAGTAGAGGAGGATGAAGGTAACACACTAGCACTCACATTAACACTGTGAGGGCAGAATCAATAATTAAGAAAATACCGCAGTTTCCAATATGACAATAAAAACTAAGAGACTGAAAGTGCGTGCTGGATTGTCACCAATGTTCACCCAAAACACTCGAGTTTTTGTACGCGCCAGCGCGAAGTCCAGTTGCGCACGTGTACACTTACAGGAATTATAAAATGGATAGCCCTCTATACGACAACAAATAATGAACACTAGATAAGTTTTTACAAACAGAACTCGAGGCGAGTTGCTGATAAAAATCGCAGAAGGGCTTTTGCGGCCTTCTCCTCTTTAAGTGGTGAGTCCCAGGCCCCTAGTATTTTGGACGTAGTAAATGGCCGGTCGTCTAGATGTGAAAGAATCCTCTTTAGAAGTTCCCTTTCTGCATCGTAAAGTGCACATTCACATAATAAATGAGATATAGTTTCCACACAATCACATCCTGGACAGTTCGGAGTGTGTGTTTTTCCGATTCGGTGCAGAAATTCCTGTGTGTAGGAAACGCCCAGACGTAATCGGTGTATAACAGCTTCCGTTCGCTTGGGTAAATTACGTGACACGCGGTATGTTAGGTCAGCATCCAGTAGATATAGAGGAGGGTAATGGTGTGCAGAGCTCTTCCAGAGACTTTGTGTTGCATTTCGTGCATGGAGATTTATCAATGAAGTGACGTCGCTTCTGGAGTAGGGTATTTCGACGTTGGGGAATAAGGTATGGGCGGAAGTCGCAGCTCCATCTGCAGCTTCATTTCCAGGTATCTTGCAGTGTCCAGGTATCCACTGGAACTCAACAGAGTGTCTCCTATCAATACATTTTTGAAGATGGCATAAAAGTTTGAAAATAATTTGTCCATTTTCACTTCGTCGCAGATATGTGCAGATGCTTTGGAGTGCAGGCTTAGAATCTGTAAACACCGTCCATGCCTGAGGTGGCTTTGTCAATATAAATCGAAGGGCTTGATGTAGGCCTACAAGTTCAGCCGCTGTTGAAGATGTCTTGTGGCTAAGCTTGAATTTTCTTGTTGTGGCATACGATGGAATCACAATGCTTGCGGTAGAACTATTTTTGACACATGATCCGTCCGTATATATGTGAGTTTTTGACGCGTGTAAACAGGCAATGGTGGATAAAGTGAGTTGTTTAAGTACTATCAATGGTGTATTTGATTTCTTCTTGATGCCTTGAATGTCAAGTTCAACAACGGGGAGAGGGAGTCTCCATGGAGGTATAGTTGGAAAAGTAAACGAGTTTATATCATCAGGGATGTATTGCTCCATTTTTGATAGTGCCATCGAATATTCTGAGTGAGGTCGCTTAAAAGTAAGATCAGCCAGTAAGTGATGACTATGATTAGTAGTATGTCTCAGATGAACTCTCAATGTTTCCTGCATCATTAGTATTTCTACAGGTGTGGCGCGTGCCTCGGCAACTGTGCCCAGAGTCGAGGCACAAGCTGGTAGGCCCAAACAGCCACGGAGGCCACGTGCTTGAACTGCTCTGAGAGCTTTGATGTTGGTTTGACACGTGCCATGTAAAATGGGAGCGCTATATCGAAGTAGGCCGACAAATAAGGCCACGTATATCTGTAATAGGGATCTTACTGTCGCGCCCCACGTGGTTCCACCGATGAAGCGGGCAAGGACACTAAAACTGGCAAGCTTTTTGCGCAAGTACAAAATATGAGGTGACCAGGTCAGACCCCTATCGATGGTTACTCCAAGAAATGTGTGGCATTTAACGTACGGTATTGTTCGTTTGCCTATCTTAAGTGGGTATTTGTCCATTCTTCGGCGGGTGAAAGCAATAGCTGCTGATTTGTCAATGGAAATTTGGAGTCCACGGGTATTAAGATAAGTTGTCATTTTCTTAAGTGCAGACTGAACCCTTGCCTTTGCTTGAACTCGTGTAGATCCAGAAGCCCATATACAGATATCATCGGCGTAGAATGATGCCTGGATGGTTGGGGGCAGTATTTTGGCGAGACGAATGAGGGCGATGTTAAATAATATAGGACTGAGGACGCCCCCCTGAGGGACACCACGGGTCACCGGATATGAAGGCGTATTTCCTTCTTTTGTAGACATAAAAATTGTTCTTCCTGTGAGGTAGCTTCTTATCCACCTATATAAGTGTCCCCCAATCCCGATTTCGCTGAGAGCCTGAAATATCGCTTCGTGAGTGACATTATCGAATGCTCCTTTGATGTCTAAGAAAGCCGCTATTGTGAATTTACGATGTGCTCGCTCCTGTTGTATGTAAGTTACAAGGTCAAGGACTCCATCGATAGAGCTCCTTGCTCGACGGAAGCCTTGCATGATTTCTGGATATATCCCTTGCTGTTCAAGATACCAATCTAGACGGCGGTGAATCATTTTTTCCATGATTTTTCCAATGCAACTCGCGAGCGCGACAGGACGGTACGAAGTTAATTGAAGTGGCGATTTGCCTGGTTTGAGAAGTGGCACAATCCTCGCCTCTTTCCACGAGCCAGGAACATTTTCATTGATCCATGAAGAGTTGAATATATTCAAAAGAAGCTTTCGCGCGTCCTTCCCCATATGTATCAAATAACTGTACTGTATGCCGTCAGGTCCCGGAGAGGTATGAGGTTTCACTGAAGACAGTGCAGCATCGAGTTCGCTCATTGTGAAAAGGTCGTTCATAGCTTCTTCACGAAGTACTGGTTCGACTGTGATGCGAGATGGAGATTGGCTCGAAAGGGTTGTGTATGTTGTCAACAAAATGCAGTACTGGCTTGCCACCTCTTTCTCTGAACAATTTCTTGATAGTGCCAGAGAGCGAAATGGGTGCAGTTGCGAAGGAGAAGATTTGAGACCTCGTGAGATCTTCCATATTTTACATAATGGCTTTCTGGGATCTATATTTTCCCAGAGCGTCCTCCAGCAATGTCGAGCTAGCTTCTTAAAATGACGACAGATTTTCTTTTGCACTCTGCGCAATTCGCGGAGATCTTTGATATCTTTAGTTTTCCTGGATCGTCGTTCTGCCCTCCGACGTATAGCGCGGAGGCGCTCGTATTCTGCGTCAATTGTTTTTTGCGTGGACGGGACGTTAAAATTACGTGTTGCTTTTTCTGCACAGGATACAATGACCTTTTCCAAGTGAGATAGTTCAGTAACATTTTTGCATTCGTTCGTCATTGCTTCTTCGAACATATGCCAGTTGGTTCGTCGTAGGAAGTTTGTTTTTCGGACATTGGTGAATCCATTAATTATTGTGTATGTGGGTACGTGGTCACTACCACGAGTTTCAATGTCTGCAAACCATGTTGTTTGCGATGTAAGTGCTGCCGAAACAAATGTTAAGTCGAGGCAGCTGCTACCTTCCGTTCCGTAGAAATACGTCGGGGTTCCGTCATTAATGGTAGATAAGTGGTAATCGTCGGCTAATTCTGCCAAGTGCCTTCCACGCAGGTTTGTCCGAATGCTCCCCCATATAGGATGATGGGCATTAAAATCACCTGTTAGAATAAATGGCGGTGGCATTGTATTTAGGATAGACTCCAAATGCTGCCTGTCAAATAAGGACTTTGGTGGTATATATGCTGCGATTATTGTGAACTTCATTTTCCCATTTGAAATCGTCGCGCAAGCGTATTCGTTGGTCGGGTGGGTTGAAACGACGTGTGCGGTATATGTAAGATCTCTTCGAATGAACATTGTCACGCGACTTGCACTATTAGTGCATGCTGAGTCAAATTTTTCGTACCGTGATAATTGAATGTCTTTAGGTAAGTTTGATTCACAGATTACAATGATGGGGAAGCTATATTTATAAACGAGTTGTCTGAAATCAGAAAGTCGTGATCGCAAACCTCTTGCGTTCCATTGTATGATAGAGGCTTTCTTGTAATGTTCATCCATGGTACTGACGTACGCTATTTGTGGTAGCGGTGATCGCTAATGGGAATTATCAATCGCTCCATAGTAAGCAGAGCCTCTACTTCTGGAATGTTGTTTGCCCCAGGGTATTCTTGTATGATAGCCTTTAACGCCACAAATAACATGGGTAGGAGTACCTGCGCAAGATCTTTTTGTTTTCGTGGATGCTGTGACTGGTTTGACATTGGGTATGTTGCTGGTGTTCCAGCGGGAGGCGCTTGAGTTTTCCGAGATCGACGAGGTGCTGGTATGGGTGTTGGCATTGTCGACCGCCCTGGACGCTCCTCCAAGGGAAGAAAGTCGTCATCTTGTGTATTTCTTTGATCTTTTTGAACCTTGCGAGGACGCTTCAGGATCTCACTGTAGGTTTTCTTTGTAGGTGCTCCTCCGTTGGGATGTTCTGGTCGTGCTTGGCGGCGAACAACTTGTGGATTTGGTGACGGAGCTCGACGCCTTGTTTGCCTTCCGTTGATGATAGAACGTTGTTTTGCAGCAGTGGCGGCCTTTTTTCGCGGACATCCGGAATATGTGGATGTATGGTTGCCGCTGCAGTTGGCACATTTTGGTTCTTTTCTGGAGCTACACTCCTTGTGGCTGTGTGGTCCTGCACACACCTTGCAACGACGCTCTCCTCTACAGTTCCTGGCGAGATGTCCATATCTTTGGCAGTTGAAGCACTGAACTGCTTGTCCAAAGTATTCTTCGACGGGATGGCTTGTGAATCCGAGGTAGATGCGCTGAGGCATGGCTCGGTCCGTCCGAAATGTGAGGACGACTGTAGTTGAAGGGTGTTGTTCCACAATTCCGTCGTCCTGGCGTCGGTAGGCCACTTGACGTTGAACAGACGTGACTCCAAAGTCTTTTAAATAATCCAAGAGCTCATCGTTGCTGTATTCGAGTGGCACATGTTTTACTTTTCCATAGTTCCTGGAATATGCCTCCGGAATATGAGTAGTTACCTGAATCTCTCCGAGAGAGGTGACTGCGAGAAGCTTGTTTGCCGAGTCCAGGGATGAAACATTTACGGAGAGATTGCCTTCTTTGTTGATTTTGTGCGAGACAATCTTTTCTTGTGTGACCGCTATGATCTCGTTGGCAAGCACGTTTGGGTTTACACGCCAGAAGGACGTGTTTGGTGTTGTTGGCTTGAAGACTACGGGAATTCCTGTTGCCCGGTTTTTTCGGTATGTCACGACTGTGTACGGTTCGTCATTGTCGGTCTCATCGGTTATGTCCCTCAATGAATATAATGAGGTGTTATCCTCGCCTTGGTCCCTCTCGACATCGGCGGTACGGATTCGTTTGGATGGGATGTTCTCGTCCGATACTGTTCCACTTACTTCTTGAAGAACCAATTGAGGAGGGTGAAGCAGCGGGCGTCCATCCTCCTGTTGGCCATTGGAATTTATGTGGTCGCTCATGGCGTCCATCTTGTCAGACAGATTGGGCGTCAAACGCTTTCTGCTACTCACAGAAGAGGTTGGCCCTCCATTTGCGGTCGGCGGGCTGTCGCCGAGCAGAATTGTTGATGGTAGATGGTTTCCGTTCGAGATGAAAAATTGAATTAACTGGCCTAAAGCGTTTGGTTCTAGAAGGAGCGAAAAATCGAGCTTCTTGCTCTGAACACTTCTTCTTCCTCTTCTCCAAGACGACGAAGGTGACCAAGATGGCCAATAGCCGCTGCTTTACTTTTGGCTGGAGGGGCAAGCACTCACTTAAAACGGCGGTGACATGTGAACTGATCAACGTTGACTGTGCGAAAGTGATGGTTGGTGAACTTGGGACACACGTGCTAACCACTTCTCTTTCGTTGTTGTCCTTTTTTATTTAGTTTTTCTTTTTTGCTTATATTGTCATGTCTTACAAGACTCCCGTTACGAAGAGATTGTGCCGCAAATATACATACATACAAGCTACGGGGACCGGTGGCTTCGCTGCGTTTCCATAGGAGTTAAGCCTTTTTCTTCTTTCTTTTTTACGTATTCCTTATGTAAGCTCGCTCTTTTTTGAATTTTATAGAAAAAAGCACCACCTTTTGGCCAACGCTGTACAAAATCGAAACGCGATAGGTTAAGAAACCGAATTTTGAGGTCGTTCTAATGAGCCTGGCCGCTCCTTGAACCACCCGAAAGTAAAGGCCAATTACTACGCTGCCTCTGAATTTCAACCTGCTACTGAATTGGAAAGTTCGCGCACTTCGTACGTACAGCCAGGAGATCACAACGACGACGGGTGCAGCTTACAATTTCAACCAGCCCGAGATTGAGGAAACAGTACGGGCGACAGTCACATAGCTCTGAGCAGACTTGTACGTAATCCGTTACAAGTAACGACATTACTTGTAATCCCTTACATTTATCAGTAATTTAGTAACGGATTAATTACATATTTTCTAGAGTAATTTTAAAGTAATTCCGTTACATATTTTACGTAACGGATTCCTTGTAATCTGTTACATTTTTTTTTGTCAGAACCAACCCTCCCCCCCCCCCCCCAATTCTAAAAAAAGTTTTTTTTTTTTCCATTTTTGTAAAGTCCAGCGTAGTGACACTGTCACGCGAATCGACCAGCGCAAAGAGAGGCTTGGCACTCTTCAGTTCGGCAAACCCTTTTTTTTTTTTTTTGCGACACCAAGCCCCTGAATCTACCCTTTTTTTAGACCCTAACATCAATGTCACAAAAAAAAAGGGGGGGGGGGGCGGCAAGTCATTCCCGCTTTCTTTTTTAGTTCCTTTGTTTTTTCTTTGCGACCGAAGACGGGGAGAGGAGGACACCAAGTGATTGTGCGCCTCTTCGAGAAGCTCGAGGCGGTAAGTGCACTGAAAAGAATTAAAGGGTGATTTCAGATAAGATCGACCAAAGGGTGGCTGGTCGACATTTTTAAATCAACTGATGTTTTTATATTACATTGTCTAGTGTCTGGTATAAACGAATCCACACTTAGT